ATGCTCAGTTCTTCCAGAAATGAAATTGGACACCATGGTGATTTTTACACAATCCCATACACTTCTCCACTGGGAAGTCAAACTTCTGTTCTACTCATTAGGAACTGCTTGAAAGTCGAAAAAGGGTTTTGCACAATTTCTGTGTCAGACAGGATCAGTTTAGAGCAGGAGACAAAGACTAGGTCAAATTCTGGAATCCTTGTTTCCTAGAAAACATGGTGCTTTTTATTGGAAAATGGTGCCTTGCCGGGGCGGGGGGAGGGGGCAGAAATAAATACTAAGTTAATTTTACCACCAGATACTGAAATTAATCACAGCAGGCAGAAAGCTCCTACGTGAATTTAATGAAATAAAATAAAAATCATACCTCTTTGTATATCACAAAAAACACTATCAAAATGGAGATTGATTGATTGCCCCAGTTAGCAAACTTCACAGACTGGATCAGGATTGAATGGGGATTATTTTTTTTATCCTAGCCGTCAAAGCCTTTCATGATTCCACCTCTGTCTTCATCTCAGACCTTAACTCCTATCACTTACCTCCTTGAATGATTCATAGATTCATAGATTCTAGGACTGGAAGGGACCTCGAGAGGTCATCGAGTCCAGTCCCCTGCCCTCATGGCAGGACCAAATACTGTCTAGACTATCCCGGATAGACATTTATCTAACCTACTCTTAAATATCTCCAGAGATGGAGCTTCCACTACCTCCCTAGCCAGTTTATTCCAGTGTTTAACCACCCTGACAGTTAGGAACTTTTTCCTAAAGTCCAACCTAAACCTCCCTTGCTGCAGTTTAAGCCCATTGCTTCTTGTTCTATCCTTAGAGGCTAAGGTGAACAAGTTTTCTCCCTCCTCCTTATGACACCCTTTTAGATACCTGAAAACTGCTATCATGTCCCCACTCAGTCTTCTCTTTTCCAAAATAAACAAACCCAATTCTTTCGCCTTCCTTCATAGGTCATGTTCTCAAGACCTTTAATCATTCTTGTTGCTCTTCTCTGGACCCTCTCCAATTTCTCCACATCTTTCTTGAAATGCGGTGCCCAGAACTGGACACAATACTCCAGTTGAGGCATAATCAGTGCAGAGTAGAGTGGAAGAATGACTTCTCATGTCTTGCTCACAACACACCTGTTAATGCATCCCAGAATCATGTTTGCTTTTTTTGCAACAGCATCACACCGTTGACTCATATTTAGCTTGTGGTCCACTATAACCCCTAGATCCCTTTCTGCCGTACTCCTTCCTAGACAGTCTCTTCCCATTCTGTATGTGTGAAACTGATTGTTCCTTCCTAAGTGGAGAACTTTGCATTTGTCTTTGTTAAACTTCATCCTGTTTCCCTCAGACCATTTCTCCAATTTGTCCAGATCCTTTTGAATTATGACCCTATCCTCCAAAGCAGTCGCAATCCCTCCCAGTTTGGTATCATCTGCAAACTTAATAAGCATACTTTCTATGCCAATATCTAAGTTGTTGATGAAGATATTGAACAGAGCCGGTCCCAAAACAGACCCCTTCAGAACCCCACTCGTTATACCTTTCCAGCAGGATTGGGAACCATTAATAACTACTCTCTGAGTACGGTTATCCAGCCAGTTATGCACCCACCTTATAGTGGCCCCATCTAAGTTGTATTTGCCTTGTTTATCGATAAGAATATCGTGCGAGACCGTATCAAATGCCTTACTAAAGTCTAGGTATACCACATCCACTGCTTCTCCCTTATCCACAAGACTCATTATCCTATCAAAGAAAGCTATCAGATTGGTTTGACATGATTTGTTCTTTACAAATCCATGCTGGTTATTCCCTATCACCTTACCACCTTCCAAGTGTTTGCAGATGATTTCCTTAATTACTTGCTCCATTATCTTCCCTGGCACAGAAGTTAAACTAACTGGTCTGTAGTTTCCTGGGTCGTTTTTATTTCCCTTTTTATAGATGGGCACTATATTTGACCTTTTCCAGTCTTCTGGAATCTCTCCTGTCTCCCATGATTTTCCAAAGATAATAGCTAGAGGCCCAGATACCTCCTCTTGCAGGCATCTAACTTTTCTAAGTGATTTTTAAGTTGTTCTTTTTTTATTTTATCTGCTAAACCTACCCCCTTCCCATTAGCATTCACTATGTTAGGCATTCCTTCAGACTTCTCGGTGAAGACTGAAACAAAGAAGTCATTAAGCATCTCTGCCATTTCCAAGTTTCCTGTTACTGTATCTCCCTCCTCACTGAGCAGTGGGCCTACCCTGTCCTTTGTCTTCCTCTTGCTTCTAATGTATTGATAAAAAGTCTTCTTGTTTCCCTTTATTCCCGTAGCCAGTTTGAGCTCATTTTGTGCCTTTGCCTTTCTAATCTTGCCCCTGCATTCCTGTGTTGTTTGCCTATATTCATCCTTTGTAATCTGTCATAGTTTCCATTTTTCATATGACTCCTTTTTATTTTTTAGATCATGCAAGATCTCGTGGTTAAGCCAAGGAAGTCTTTTGCCACATTTCCTATCTTTCCTACTCAGCAGAATATCTTGTTTTGGGCCCTTAATAGTGTCCCTTTGAAAAACTGCCAACTCTCCTCAGTTGTTTTTCCCCTCAGTTTTGATTCCCATGGGACCTTACCTATCAGCTCTCTGAGCTTACCAAAATCCGCCTTCCTGAAATCCATTGTCTCTATTTTGCTGTACTCCCTTCTACCCTTCCTTAGAATTCTGAACTCTATGATTTCATGATCAGTTTCACCCAAGCTGCCTTCTACTTTCAAATTCTCAACGAGTTCCTCCCTATTTGTTAAAATCAAGTCTAGAACAGCTTCCTCCCAGTAGCTTTTTCAATCTTCTGAAATAAAAAGTTGTCTGCAATGCAGTCCAAGAACTTATTGGATGGTCTGTGCCCCGCTGTGTTATTTTCCCAACATATATCTGGATAGTTGAAGTCCCCCATCACCACCAAATCTTGGGCTTTGGATAATTTTGTTAGTTGTTTAAAAAAAGCCTCATCCACCTCTTCCACCTCGTTAGGTGGCCTGTAGTAGACTCCTAGCATGACATCACCCTTGTTTTTTACCCCTTTTAGCCTAACCCAGAGACTCTCAACACTTCCGTCTCCTATGTCCATCTCCACCTCAGTCCGAGCAAGTGTGTACATTTTTAATATATAAGGCAACACCTCCTCCCTTTTTCCCCTGTCTATCCTTCCTGAGCAAGCTGTACCCATCCACACCAACATTCCAATCATGTGTATTATCCCACCAAGTTTCGGTGATGCCAACAATGTCATAGTTGTATTTATTTATTAGCACTTCCAGTTCTTCCTGCTTATTACCCATACTTCTCGCATTTGTATATAGGCATCTAAGCTACTGATTTGATCTTGCCTCCCAGTTTTGCCCTGACCCTCCTTTCTCTCTGCCATTATGGCCCATGCTCCCTCCTATTTCCGACCCATCTCCCAGGTCTCCATGTTCCCCACTTACCTGTGGGCTTTGCTCACCTGTCCCCGATGCCAATTTCAAAGCCCAATTCCATCTACCCTCTGCATACTCCTATCTCCATGCTGCCCATTATAAGTGGAATGCTCTCCTTCATCCCAATTTGCCAAGCCACCGCCTTCTTTTCACTCAAGTCCCTCTTAAAAATCAACTTTTTACCTTTGTGTACGGTTAGCCAAAAAACATCCAAGTTTCTGGGTTTCCCAGAATGTCCCATCTTCTGTTTTTGTCTTTGAGACCCCAATTCTCCAAAGACTGTATTGACTCAAGTGGGACTTCTGAAGTGTTCAAAGCTGTCTTTGCAAGACTAGGACCTTGCAGCTCTTTGTGGGAAGGGACAGCTTTTATTTTGTGTGCTGCACAGAGCTGAACATATTGCCCATGCTGTTCAAACAACAATAGAAACTGAGCTACCCTCTTGCTCTTTTATCATTTATAAGTATAATTTTGTTTTTGTTTTTAAACAGTGCCAAAAATTGCACTGCTCACATTGCATGTAAATGCAAAGGGCCATTCCCTGCCAAGTTTGAATACAGCTGCACATATGACACAATGAAAGTGCGACAAAACAGTGAGGTGGGAAAGAAAGACAGTGGTCACAACAATAAAATTATGCAGGAATGGCCTGACTTAATTCCCCATTTAAGTCAAGGGAAGGATTGTCATTGACTTCATTAGGCATTGTATCAGGCAGCAGATATGGGTATACAGCACAGCTGAATATTCCTTAAAATATTTAATAAATGTATATGTAAACTACACAAATACCTTGATGTCTTGGTTGACTTACTTCCTTTGGGCCTGTCAGTAACAGATTTAAACCCCCAATCCAGCAAAGATCCTAGTGCAACAGTATTGCCAAAAGAGCTAACATGATCCTTGGGCGTATAAACAGGGGAACCCCAAGTAGGAATAGAGAGATTATTTTACCTCTGTATTTGGCACTGGACTGTGTCCAGTTCTGGAGTCCACAATTCAAGAAATTTTATAAACTTCAGAGAGTTCCAAGAAGAGCCATGAGGATGATTAAAAGATTAGAAATTATGTCTTATGGTAATAGACTCAAGAAGATCAATCTATGTAGCTTAATAAAGTGAAGATTAAGGGGTGACTTGATCAGTCAGTCAGTATCTACATGGAATACAAATATTTAATAATGGGCTGTTCAATCAAGTAGAGAAAGGTATAACACAATCCAATGGCTGGAAGTTGAAGCTTTCTTGATTGGGGCATTAAATCAGATATGAAGTACGTTAGCCACTGTTGTTCAGCAGTGGGACTGTCAATTTGATATTTTTCATGAGTACTACATTCATTTTAAATATTTTCAATCCCATATCTGACTCTAATACAATTTTTTGAGATGTGAGATATTCTCCATATGTTTCATCTTGCAAATTCCTTGATGTACCACAGATTATCAGAGTTCTGCATATTTTACTTCAGAACTTTGATTACTACATATTATAATTACTACAGTGAGAAAGTATCTTTGTTTTTTTTCCTTCAGCTAATCCGTGTGAGCTCCACTGCCGCCCTGTAGATGGCCAATTTTCAGAGAGAATGCTGGATGCAGCTAGTGATGGGACTCCTTGCTTTGAAGGCAGAAACATCCGAGATATCTGTATTAATGGCATGTGTAAGGTATTGGGTATGTTTGTATGTTTCCTTCTCTAAAATTTCATGGGACTGTATTATCAGGGGAAACTGTTTACCAACTTATTTAAGAGGATGCCAGCCCAGGGCATTTGATTTCATTGTATTTTAAATTATAGTAGAAACAAGTTAAAGGGGAACTGCTTTTCTAAATGGACATTAGAATAACTTTGACCCTTTCTACAGAACAGATGGGCCTGGTTGTTGTTGTTTCTTTTGTTATCAGAATCAATTTAAGAATGTCTGTTTGCTCTATTCCTATGGTGATATTGTTTTCACAGAGGATTATACAGTTTTGGGGCCACAATTAGTTTTAACCATTTCATAGAGCTACATTTTGAAAATGTGATCCTAATTGTATGAAACCATGTGTTATTCATCAGCTTAGAATTAAAGGCATTGTACTTGTAATATTTAATCACACACTGAAGTGAAACTGCATGAAATTTACTGTACGTAACCAAAGCAAACAAATGAGAGTACATATAACAATGTGTTTTTTAATTGTAACAACGTTACTCTTTTGACATAATTCTCCACTACACCTAGGGTGACCAGATGTCCCGATTTTATAGGGACAGTCCCGATATTTGGGGCTTTGTGTTATATAGGCGCCTATTACCTCCCCACCCCCTGTCCCGATTTTTCATACTTACTGTCTGGTCACCCTAACTACACCTAGGGTGTACCCAGCATCCACAACATTCTATTGGTGTGTTTTGAAAATATATGCAGTTCCTGCAATATTGGATTATGGTTACATAGTTATAAGATAAGGAAATCCCATAGTCTTAGTTGATGGGTTGTTTTCCAATAGGATAGCAAAGCACTGGAGTATATTCTTGTGGTATGTAATAGTTTTATCTGTAGTTTAATTTTTTTGAAAACATGAGGTTCAGAGCCTGTTCCTGTTGAAGCCCAAAGGAAATTTGGCCACTGATGACATTGGGAGCAAAAGCAGGACTGTGATTCCTAGAAAACACTTAGTTAGTTGCTGGTAGAAATTAATTTATCATCTTCCTGGAGGGCCATTTGATAGCTGCATGCCTTAACCACCTGAATACCAAGTCATGTATAGAATATCAGGGTTGGAAGGGACCTCAGGAGGCCATCTAGTCCAACCCCCTGCTCAAAGCAGGACCAATCCCCAGACAGATTTTTGCTCCAGATCCCTAAGTGGCCCCCCTCAAGGATTGAACTCACAACCCTGGGTTTAGCAGGCCAATGCATACTTGCTATGTGTCTACTCCAAAGATTTAACTTTCCAGTGGAATTGTTGGTTTATCAAAGAACAGCAACAAAAGGGTTAATTCTTAATTTTTTATACAGTGCTTACACTTGTACTAGTGAATTCTTTGGGTAAACTGGAGTTCCTGATCCAGCTCCCATTGAAGTCAGTGAAAATATTCCCTGTTGCTTCAATGGGAGCTGGGATGGGCAGAGGGAACTTCTATGAACAGTCATACTTGAAGATATACAGAAACAAACCTTTTTAAGATTTGAAAATGTTTGGTAAATTTTTCAAATGTTTATTTTTGCTTTGGTGACCAGGTTTCCCAAAGGGAAAATGGGACACCACGCAGGGCTGGCTCGAGCCCTCCTCCCCCGGCACAGGGCTGGCCCAAGCCACTTGCCCAAGTCCACCTCCCCACACAGGGGGCAAGCAGTGACACACATACTAGATGGAATGACCCTATTTCCCAAAGGCTGGGGCTGGCATCACTGCTCACTTGAGCCCTGCCTCCACCCCTGTGTGGGGCTGGCATTGCTGCTTGCCCCTCCCCCACTGCATGTTCCTCCGCACCCTACTTTTTTTCCAAAAGTGGGCATTTGTCCCATTTGCTCTTGCCAACTGATCAAGTTAGCAAAAGCAAATGGGACACATGCCCACTTTGGGGGGGTGGGGGTGGAGTCAGGACGTCCAGGTCAGGCTTAAAAAAGGGACTGTGCCGGCCAAAACGGGATATATGGTCACCCTAATTTTTGCTCACCTCTATACTTCTTGGCTTCAGGCAGGACTGATCTAAGAGAGGCAGAATACTGAATTAAGAGGGCTATTTTCATGGTATATTTGATCCAGCTTCAATAATATCTGAAATTTTATAAGAGCTCTCATCTCATGAGAGTTTCACTCTGATTTCTAAACCAAAGGGATTGAGATCAGCATGACTAAGCTTCAGGCTTTCGAATATTTATTCAGATTGAATCCCACAAGCTTTGGCAGTTCACACATCACTACAAATGTATGTCTATTTTATACAAAGCAGGTTTTTTAAAAATTCAGAGGATGTATCTCTGTTGAAAGCAAGCTCTACCATGTAGATCAGAGGTTCCCAAACTGTGGTACATGAGCATGTTAGAAGTGGTCTATGGCAAAAGGTTGCTCTGTCCCCTTGAAGGGACGGGGGTCCTGGAGCAAGCCAAACCCTATTCCATGACAAAACCTTTCAAAAAGAAAGGGGAGGGGGAGAGAGAGAGCAGCAGACTAGCAGAGGAATGGGATCCAGATGTTAATCAGGTAGCTGCCTCCTTAGAATGATAAAATCCAGCTGTTTGGTAGCTTACAGGAAGATTAAGAGGGAGAGGACAGACAGCCGAGAGGGCAGAATTGCAGGGAAACATTGAGTCAGAAGAGAGGCTCCCTGAGATAGGAACCAGAAGGGAGACAGGTGGGCTGGGGAGCCTACCTGAATCACAGCCCAGCCCCAAGAAGGAGGGCTGTGGAATCCTTTCACCAAGAGGAAGGAGTTGTGAGTTCAGGGCCCAAAGGAGGCTCTGTGCAATGGGACTAGAACCTGGATTCTGGTGGGCCAGGGAAGCCTGCTTAAATCATGTCACAACCCCGTGGAGGGGGGCTGTGGGATCCCTTAACTATGAGGAAGGAGTTGTGAGTCCGGGGAGGAGGAGACCAGCAAAAAAGACTTCCCAGAGAGGCCAGACTCAGAGATTGCAGTGAGACTAGCAAAGCATCCTGGTTCAAAGGGAACTGGAGGAGATT